GCTGCTGTGAACAAAAGAGAACAAAAATACCAAAAATGCTTAAAAGTTGGAAATTTGTTTTTAAACAGTAAAATCACCATGACGGAAAATAAGTTTTTGGATCATAATCTTGGATTTAGTTTGGGGGAAAAAGAAAGGCAAGAGACTGAAATAAATAAGACATTGACCTTCACTCAACACAGAAAAGATGAGACAATGAGGAAAAAAAGAAAAGAGAAACTGACAAGAAAAAACGAAGAGGAAAGATTGAAGAAAATGTATATAGGTACTTACAAAATACACTAAGACACAAACAGAGTAGGCTTTTCTCATAGTGACATGCATTAATAAATTGTTTGTTTTGTTCTTTTTTTTTCTGCAGTTCCACGTTAAAGTTTGATGCAGCAGCTCTGCTTTTCTGAATGGACCGTCTCCATCTCCACTGTCAGTACAGTAAACCAGGCAGACATTCTTTTTTATAGATTACAGTACACTAAAAGGTTGCATTGTGAACTTGTATGCATTTTTAACAGTTTAATTCTGTAAAGACAAAATATGTCTGGTGGTCCAGCTCTGATTTACATCTTTGGCTAAATTGCAGGTTTAAATATTGTAATACTTTCCTATAACAAAATAGACCTGCAGAAAGAAATTACTAATAAAATATTTTACATATGCATAGTTCTATGTTCTATGTAGAGATTTCCCTTAGCTTTGATTGTATGTCTCACAATTTTGTAATTTATCATTGTTCATTAAACTCTGAAAGCTATGTGACTTTGTTAATATTCTGTCCTAAAATGCGATAAGATGTGCCCTTTTTTTTTTTTTGAGCACCTGCCCCTTTAGTGGTCTCTGCACGGCCCTGAGAAATACAGATATAGTTGTATAACTAAACAGAGAGACAGAAACAGTAGCATTAAAAAGGCATATATTGTAAAGATGAGGTGCATACGTTTTTTTTATTACTTATACCGCAACTGATTATGCTGGCCATTGCAGTGAATTAAATCTTATCTGAATTATTGTTATTTGTGGAAAAAACTCATTTGCTCTTATCTTAGACACTTTTATTATTTTTCTGCCATGTTCCTTTTTATTTTCATTATAAACCTGAGACAAATATATAAACAATTAAATACCACAGTGTCTCCATACTCTGAATGAATTTTGATTTACAACAAGCACCTGTCCTGTAAGATTGAGGTGTGCTAACTGGGGCCCCTGAAGAGCAACATACACAGCCAGGGGGTCACAGAAATGCATCTTATATACCTGCAGCCGCTGAACTTGCCTGCCACTCAAAGGCATTTTTCTGCAGCCGCGCCTTGCATTAAACAGAGTGAAAGGAATGAGTAGCTTGAGGGGTGGATGGTGAATGAGGAGGGGAACACCCATCAGCCCGCTGCAAGTCTCAACTGAGTAGAGACTCATGCTCAGGTAAAGTGGGCAGAAAAGCACCACAGTAAGATGAGGGAAATCTGCAAGTTCCCTCTTCAAATTAAAAGATAAGTTCTGGAAATGTTTAGAAAGATCAGCCCTGAGAAACTGGGTTATTCTGGGTGGAAATGTAATTTACCTAGATGGATTCACGTGGAAAAATAGAAACAATCAGCTTAAAGTACTGCATTTGATATATATTTTTAGCCAGAAATATTTAAATAAATAAATACAGTTATATACATTTCAAAATAAAAGTTCTCAACATTGATGATCATTGCCTAACCATAAATCAGGTTGGGCTAAAATATTTGCCAACTTTCTGTATGGAAATTCAGCAAAAATGATGTTAAATGGTTTCTGTTCCGTTCAGCTCTTCATTTTTGTGATACAGCTGCCTCATTGTCCTAGCCTTGTTTCTTTGCTCTTGGACAGAAAAATTAAAGGTACCTCTGTATACACTCTATTTCACCAACTTAACAATCCTATATGTCACAAATGTTCTTATAATAGGCAAGACAACATGTTGCCAATAACTCTTTTCTAAAAAATTGTAAAATAGCTTTTGTTTAAGGGGAGATTTATACCTGCTAAAAATTATATTTATACTCGTTTTTACTGGCAAGCAGGCACGTGCAGAGGGGGGGGCTAAGGGGGCTTGAGCACCTGCCCCTTTTGCTCCATGATCCCAATGTGCCCTTTTGGTCCCTTTTTTTTTTATTTATTTTTTTATTTGACACATGTACTGAAATTATTATTATTATCTTTTTTTTTGGCAAGAAAAACAATACAATAAGCCCTCCGGTCACATTGTTACCTTTGACCTTTTGCCGGTGACGACGCACTTGCCTCTCGCACAGTCAGATAAGGCGGCTAACTGCGGAGCTAAAGGTAGCGAATATTCCACATTACACTGTGGCCGCTGCTCATTTGGCCCTAAGCAAAATCAACCATGATCGGACGGATGGCTATGTCTTCAGTCTGCACCGCCTCTCCAATGTCAACCTGAATAGAGATGTAAGTGAAACCAAATGAGCCCCATGGATGATGCAGTATTGTTTGATCTAAAACACTGTTTACTCTGTGCTTTTAGTCTTTTACATTGAAAATTATGTTTTTTAATTCACAAAAAACTGTTCTGTAATGATTACAGAACAGTTTTTTTGTGAATTAAAAAACATAATTTTTGGTGAAAATACTGGAGTAGGCTTCCTACTTGTCAGACAACGGAAACCTTTGAACGTTGTATAATTTCTCTACTTTAGCAAAGAGTAGCGGTTTAAACGGAGGAAAGTATAGGACGCGGCACTCCTTTCTCTGAAGAACTACTGAGCAGGAGGAGACAGCCAGGTGAGGAAAAGCTGTTCTTATCTATCGATTCAGTATTTTTATCATATAGACATTAGGCTGTTGTTCTTGTGCTATGAGCTAGCTGCTAGCTAATGACTTTGCTAGCAAAGCAAGATAACTAAAAAGCTTCCCTGTGTCGTTAATGATAGTAGGACATTCTTCAGTATTACTTATGCAATAGGGGCACATCGCCCGTCAAAAACCTATCATCTCCATAATGGATATATGTCTGATTTTCTAATTTCCTTTGCTGCATGATGTACATTTCATTTATTCTAGCATTAGGTAAATGTATCTTGAAGGAGAACTCATCCAGAACTACCATGATAGATATATGATAGATATAATGTATGAAGCTGGTGAAAACAAAACTGCGCAGCTTATGCAAGGAGGATCGGTTGTCAGACCTTCTTTTGTTGGCAATCGAGAAGGATGTGCCAATCATTCACAGTGAGGTTATTAACATTTTTAAAGACATGGCTAACAGAAAACTGCTGCTGTGAACAAAAGAGAACAAAAATAGCAAAAATGCTTAAAAGTTGGAAATTTGTTTTTAAACTGTTAAATCACCATGACGGAAAATAAGTTTTTGGATCATAATCTTGGATTTAGTTTGGGGGAAAAAGAAAGGCAAGAGACTGAAATAAATAAGACATTGACCTTCACTCAACACAGAAAAGATGAGACAATGAGGAAAAAAAGAAAAGAGAAACTGACAAGAAAAAAACGAAGAGGAAAGATTGAAGAAAATGTATATAGGTACTTACAAAATACACTAAGACACAAACAGAGTAGGCTTTTCTCATGGTGACATGCATTAATAAAATGTTTGTTTTGTTCTTTTTTTTCTGCAGTTCCATGTTAAAGTTTGATGCAGCAGCTCTGCTTTTCTGAATGGACCGTCTCCATATCCACTGTCAGTACAGCAAACCAGGCAGACATTCTTTTTTATAGATTACAGTACACTAAAAAGTTGCATTGTGCCCTTGTATGCATTTTTAACAGTTTAATTCTGTAAAGACAAAATATGTCTGGTGGTCCAGCTCTGATTTACATCTTTGGCTAGATTGCAGGTTTGAATATTGTAATACTTTCCTATAACAAAATAGACCTGCAGAACGAAATTACTAATAAAATATTTTACATATGCATAGTTCTATGTTATATGTAGAGATTTCCCTTAGCTTTGATTGTATGTCTCACAATTTTGTAATTTATCATTGTTCATTAAACTCTGAAAGCTATGTGACTTTGTTAATATTCTGTCCTAAAATGCGATAAGATGTGCCCTTTTTTTTTTGAGCACCTGCCCCTTTAGTGGTCTCTGCACGGCCCTGCTTGCAAGTAAGGGCCATTCATGACGGCAGACCAGCAAATTGGTGAACTAAATCAAACCCACCATTAGTTTCTCAAAACCCTTATCAGCTGACAATGGCCTCAGATTGAGCCTGGAGTTGTTGCTATCCACTGTTACCACATGCGTGCTCTGGAAAAGAGTCTTGCAAGGTCATTGACGAGTGGGTTGGTTATGCTTCCTTCCACATATATCTTTTTACCAGTTTGACGGGATCAGTTAGACTGTTTCCTATTAATAATAAAACTGAGCTTTGTTTAATTGGTCATAACCTCTATGTGATTTGAACACACTGGTATGTAAGAAACATATATTTCTGTATAATTTTAGGATAAGAATTATGTCTGATTTTCTTGAATTGTTGTTGTGCTGATAATCTGAACTAAACAGACCTGCTCACACATTGTTTCCTTTTTTCCCCCCAAAGTATCAGCTGTAGATATAAAGTTTAATGAGTTAATGTCCAAATAGCATCTGAGATAAATACAACATAATCTGTGTGGGAAGTTGAAATCACTATCCACTGACTTTGCACCACACCCGGAGTATTAATTTTTTTTTTTTTTCTGTGAGTATACACTGATTTATATGTAAACGATAAATCAATAATAAAAATAGACAATTTTGACTCATGGTTTAAGCTGCATTATGAAATTTCATGAGTTCATATATTTGAAATGCACTTAAAAGTAGTAACATCTTGCAGAGAATATGTGTTAATATCCATTTCTGCATTGTTGTGGGTTTGGGAGGGATCTACGCAGACCTAAAAAGGGAAATGATGAATGAGGTTAATAAAGATATTTTGAATATTATTTGGTATTTTATTTTGAAATCAGCCACCGGTAGTCTGCTGTGTTATTCAGTGTAACTTGACTCCAGGTTGACAGCAGAGAGTTGTTGAAAGGACTGAAACGGAGAGTCGGTGTGGGACCAGCGAGCCTGTCACTGAGCTGTCCGACGGGAGGCGACTGAACCGGGAAACATATGATCTGAGAAGGTAAAGCTGCTCCCCACTGATGCTGCACACACCTGCACACTGGGCTCCCAGGGCGCAGCCTGGGAACCTTTTTATTGTCACCTTAAAGCGCCTCTCAGTTGCGCTGCTGATGCAGAGACACGCAGGTCTCACCTGCGCTCAAATCAATTAGGACACATCCTGCTGCTTTTGTTGATTTAAAACAAAGAGCAGGGGGACCTATATCGATTTTCCACGTTCATCCAGTTGTGAAACAGCACCTACTTATTATTCATCTATGACATTTAATGATATCAAAATGTTAAGTTCAAACTTTGGAAGCTTTGCTTGTAAACATGCATGCCTCCAGTGATCCCTGTTTTTATTCCTTTTCTCTTTTTTTGAGGTGCCTCAGAGGTGAGATAATTGGAATCATAACTTTGCTTTTATTGCCACGGTTAATACTGACAGAAACAATATTCTAAAGCATGTAGATAACTCAAGGTTTACTTCTGGAGAGTAATTGATTCTTTGCACATTGTTAGTGGCATTAATCACAGTAACAAGAGCAGCTATTAAGGTGACAGTTATGTGTGCTGCTGCACCTCTATCCCCCTGGAGTAACACGTTTCATGCTTGATGCAGCTTGAAGACTGCATGAAGCTCATTCCATGCCAGCTCATCTAACCTTCCTCGCCTCATTTCAAGAATTTTCTTGACAAAAGAGTAATAATGATTGAAGGAAAACCTATTTTAAGATCACAGGACCCAGCAAAATTATAAAGCTTGCATATTTTCTCTGCTTCTTGCGGCTATATTTCATCATATTTCAAATCAAAAACTAGTTGCCAACTTTTTACTGGACTTGGTTAGAATCGATGCTTGAAATTTAGGCTTAGCAGAAGAAAACTGTAGTACCCAAACAAACTTGTAGAAGTGATAGTTGTTCAAACCATATTTTTTCTGTTAAAATAAACATGATTTATACATTTAAATTGAACCATGTGTATTGATCATATTCTGAATGTATTGTGTATATATATCAGTTTTTCTGCTACATTAAGAGTTTTTTTGCAACTGCTACATGCACATCTAGATCAACCCAGTAACTAGTTATGTGTTTTAACTTGATGTATACACTGCCTTGCAAAAGTATTTACGCCTCGGAATATTAAAAAACACAAGATTATGTTACAACCATAAACTTGCATGTGTGTTCGGGACTGTGAGAAAAACCTTGTAAGGAGATAATAAATCTAAGCGCCGTCATAGAAACAACAGAGATCATCAGCTAAGATGGGAGAGTCTGTTGACAGTTGTATTCTTAACCCTAAAAATCAGGTCTCAATGGAAAATTTTCAGGATATAAGTCATCGTTAGGAGGCAATATTTGCTTTTTTCCACAAACCATTAAGGAGTCTTACGCAACATGTGGCAGAAAGACAAAATGTTAGTTGAAAAATAACTTAAACATTCTAATCTATTTGCACAATAATAATGGCAGCATCATGACGTTAAGATCCTTTGATAGAAATATGGATGGAGCTACATGCAGAACACTCCTTATTAAGGAAAGCCATTCTGAAGTTGGAAGATGTCTGAAGATGATTGAGGAAGAGGAAGAGTTTTAGGTACCAAACATTTAACCAGAGCTTCACAGGAGTAATTTAGATTAAATGTATTCATATTGTCTATATTGACTAAGTCAAAGACAGAATTTGGATCCAATTCATAATTTGTGGCGAAGTTTAAAATTCTCTTGGTCAATCCTACTGAATCTGAGATATTTTGCAGGAGAATGGCCGAGAATTTCAGTCTTTAGGTGCAAAAATCTAATAGAGATTTAAAATAGGAGCCTTAAGGATGTAACTGTAAAAAAAATGGACAAAAATACAGACTGTTCAAAATTCTCTGAAATGTAAATGCTTTAAAAATGGAAACCTGCCTACTTTTTTCCTATTTGCAATTGTCCAATTTTTACCATATTATTGGTTTATATACAAGAGTGAGTAGGTGGGTTTGCAGCTGTGAATTTACTTTCAGCATTTTTACATTGTGGGTTTTTTCCACTGCACTAGGTTTTTATGTATAGGATTCAAACTAATACTGTTTTAAATCAAATATAATCATATTTGTGGCCTGTCTGGTGTGTTAAGGTGATTCAGACTGATGAACTAATGTTCTCTTTTTAAGAAATGTGCTGTATAAATAAGCTTGCCTTGTCTTTTGGTTTTTGGCACATTTTTTATATTTTTGTTTAGTAAAAACTAATTCAAGGAACTAAATTCTCCTATAGATTCAGAATTTTGTTCAATGTTGCTTGGTCCATCAAATTAATTTTTGATAAAATCAAGTTTTGCATTTGAATAAAAGTGTTGTTGTAGCCTTTTGGTGCTTAAATGTTATGTATTGTATGTAAATTAATTGTAATTTTCCTCTGTTGTTTTAGCTCTAGTCAAGGAATAAACGTTTCAATAATTTGCATTGCATTTAGAATAATAGTCACTGACTTGATTCATCACTAAACAGATTAAAGGACATTAACATATCTGTGATGGGAAGCTTAATGGATGGCAGGGGAATAACTGAAGCCTCCCACCCACCCGTTTCTGATCACTTTCTCTGTTCCATCCATCCATCCTTCCTGTCTTCTTTTGTTCCTTCCCTTCTACCTCCTACTCTGTGCTTCAACTCAGGTGTTGTGTGTCCTCTGGTCAGCTGGAATCAGGATGCAGTTCTCAGTCAGACTGAGTTTCTTCCTGCTGGGCTTTGTTCTCATCGCCGTGTTACCTGACACAGCAAAAGGCCAGGGTAAGTGTCTCTGCCTCTGTACTCATCAGTGTCAACAAGGCCAAAATGACTTTCAGCAATGGACCAAACATGGCTGAGGTGAGCTTTTAATAATACAAAGAGGGTAAAGGACAAAGAGGGTAAAGCAAAATGCAAGGCTTGAACTTACCAAGAGAGTGAACACATTTAGGGCTTTGAAAAATTGCTATCAAAGCTGGAAAAGGACAAACATTTGCTCAAGGTTATGTTTTATATTTTAAGATAAACTTTTACATGGCTTTCCGTGTCGTTGATTAATCTAAATGCAGGTTCAAGTAGTCGTCTAACACCTTAATTGGTTATAACTGTTACAAGCCCTGCTTCTTAGGACTACTGCTGTTGATGGCAGCAAGGAAGATCTTGCAAGATCTGCTATAGACAATAGCAGCTGCAACAATTTCAAAGAAGAGAAGGCAAAGTTAAACTTAGCAAAGCAATAAAGACTCATGCTGTAACCAACATTTTTCTTTAAAACTCTTAAGTGTGGTCCTAATTGGAAGGGAGGAATCCAGACATCATCCTTTCCTTTTCTTTTTTTTTAACTTTTGAAGTTTTTCCATTTAATGTTCATTTTCTCTTATCCCCATGTTTATCTAAATGAAAAGCCATGATGGTCATATCATAGGAACAGGTTGCTTCAAAATGTTTTCAATGTATTTTTTTAAATTCCATAACCTTTTAACTCTACCTTTTGAGTCTGAGGATTTAAGTGGAGGGTGCGGGGATATCTGGTTACAGATGTTGGACTCAGATTTCAAAAATGAAACATCTTGACTGCTCTAGTGGGTCTTAGCTGCACATGTTTTATTTTAAATTGACATTCTTATATTGTCATTGGTAATTGAATAACGTCACTCATTTTCTTCTTGTTTGGGTTGAATAAGATCTGTTTTTTCACTATCATTATAAAAATAACTGAACTTTAGAACTCTACTGAAGTTTTGGCTTCAACATGTTGGGTGTCTGGTGTGAAGTAAGGCACAAAAAATATTTTTGCCTTGAAGCAGTGCAGTGGGTTGATTGCTCTCTGACACCTCCGAGCTGCAGCTCTCCCAAAGTTTTTTTGGAATCGATGAACCTTAAAGAGGACTGAACTGAAAGAGATTTAAATTAACGTTGACTCCTGAACCACAATCTAATTACATATGCTGATTCTTTGCCAGGTTGTGAAACGTCACCAGAGGGACATAGGTCAATGTGAGATATAATTAGTCTGTTATAACAATTTCTTAAGGTTTTCCTTGCAAAATAAAGGCCAACTTTGATAGCAAGGCTGCATCTCAGGTCTGCAATCTTAGGCTACGTTCACACTGCAGCCTGAAGTGACCCAATTCCGATTTTTTTGCCCATATGTGACCTGTATCTGATCTTTTTATGACAGTCTGAACGACACAGATCGGATTTTTTCAAATGCGACCCAGGCCACTTGGATATGTGGTCCTGAATCCGATACGTATCTGATCTTTTCAAATGCGACCTGTGTCTGTACGGCCAGGTCGCATTCATCCGACCTACACGTCATTGATACTTGACAAATTTTAAAAGTTATGAAGGAACTCCGTATCACTAAAGCCGCTCACATCGCTATCCCACCATTCCTGGCTTCGACTCCGCACCCACACGCTTCTCTGTACGGACGTTGCTATTACTGCCCCACAAAACGTCATTGCAAGAAATCTGGCTCTCTTTCTTTTTGATCTTCTTAAAAAGATTTTGTTCGTAATGAGCCTGCTCCTGTTGGAGAAGAACTTAAAGAACGCAATATACGCTGCGGTATTACGAGTCATGTTTACTTCCGCAAACACTGAGGACGCTTGCTACATGTGATGTCATCGCGTCCTCGAGTGCGCATGCGGGACACTTCGGTTGAACGCTTTCAGTTCACACGGTAGATCACATACAAGTCGCATATACTTGGAAGTGTGAACGGACACGCAAAAAAATCCGATTTCACAAAAAAATCGGAATTGATCATTAAGGCCTGCAGTGTGAACGTAGCCTTAGTGCCTTTCTGCTGATACCTTGTGATGTGGATTGATTGGTTGTAAAGAAGTATTTTTTTTTTTTCATTGAATGTGTACTATCATTGCCAAACTACTTTTACTTGGACACATAGATGTACAGCAGTCTCCCCAAATATTGGCTGCCCTTTAAAGGATGTATACAAAAGCCATGGAATAAATTATATAAAAATTTCAGACTCTAAAAGGCCAGACTCTGCTTCAGTATTATAAAGTAAGCTCCTGTGTTCTTAGTTTGTGCGTCCCTTTTCATTTCCTCCCCGTGCTTCGACGAAACGTTGGTCTTAAAAAAAAAACCGGCCTGCTGCTGGGCTAGTTGATGAATTTATTGCATTGATTAATTTGACATTTATAAGATTTCCATCATTTTGCATTTGTTCATGAAACAAAAGAGAGGAAAAGATAACTGATCAGATCTGGGTAGTTATATCTTTTTTTTTTTTTTTTTTTTTTAAATCAATGCACCCAGCCATGGATTGCTGTAATGTGCAATATTGTGTGGATAGTGACTTTCCTTTTACTGTTTAAAACTCAAGTCAATACATTTTAAGTTAACTTTATTTTTTATACACTGCCAAACAACACATTTCTTAGAGTTTATAGAAGGATTTTAAATATTTAGATAGTTAAGCCCAAAATGACTTTAAGGATGTGTACCCGAAAGAAAGCATTTGTTTGTTTGTCTTCAAACAAAAGATGAATTTGACTGACATCTTAATCTATATTGTTTAATATGATGCCCTGCAACTCCTTCCAGCTGTTAAGGGCACAGGTCTTATGCACAGACTTTTTACATACTTTAAGATATTGTTTATGGAAAACTGTAAGGTCAGAATCTAATGTTTAATGAGAACACATGGGCTTATAGTATCTTGTCTAGGTCTACACATAGGTGTTCTGTTAGATTGAGGTCAGGATCAGGTCTTCCACAGAATTGGGTTTTATGCACCTTACTTTGCATGTTTTCAGTCATGCTGAAACAGGAAGAGACTATCCCTCTTAGTCATTTTGGTGGAGGATCTTCTCTTCCCATGTGGATCATCAAAATAAGTGGTTCTCCTAATTGTCAATCGTTCTGGTGATATGTTTCTGCGCATCCGCAGTTTCAGGCATATACATTTGGTGAGCTACAGTTTCTGACAGTCATTGAAGCTCACCCTTCTCACCACAGTTCTTTGAAAATGGCCGAGGGTTGTAAGAGAAAAAGTGTCTATGAAGTGTATGAGAAGAAAATAAAGGCCTTAGAAGAGAGAAACAAAACGAGTGTTTTTGGGAGACTCTTATTCGATGCCTTACACTGAAAGTACAAGTCAGGCTTCCTAATGATGCCTCGGTTGCGAAGCTTCTATTCGACAGGTAAAGTTTGGCATGCTAGTAAAACAAGGAGAAATTGGTTTGTTTATGCTCTCGCACATATTTAATAGGCATTCTCTCTCGGGAGCAGGTACAGGGTTGTGCATGTGCATTTTTTTTTTTACATTGGAGAGGGCGGTTCTTTTCCAAAATTCTGTAAAATCCTCCTCTATACCTTTAAATATTACCTGATATTCTGAGGTATTATAAGTCACCATAGTATCCTCTGCATCAAACTTTGCATTTGACAGTCAGTTCTTAAAGTGCCATTCTAAGGGCAACTCCTAAACGCTGGGTTGTCCAATAGATTAACTGACTGATAGGCATCATTTGTCACTAGAGAAAATGCATACTGACCTTGAGTCTAAGCTAATGGGCTTTATACCATTGCACCTGACATGGTGCACTGCACTTAGTCATGTTTTTTTTTTTATTATTATTTTAAAAATGTCTAGCATGTTATAGTAGATACACCATTATTTACAGGTATACAATCTTGACACACTCAAATGAGGCAATAGATTTAGATTAAACCACATTTTTTCTCCTCTCCTTTTTCTTCTCTTCCTATAACTTGTAATGCATTAATAAAAATATACCTAATCTCAAAAAGAAATGTAGAGGTAAGGGGAATTGCATAAAGTAGGACCCCTGTGACTATCGTCTTAATGCACCAGTATAATTTGCAGTTATATAAAAGGTAATAAACAGTGATAAGGATAGAAATGATGGACAATGATAAGGATAGAAATGATGGTAATAATTATTTTAAGTGGGATAATTATCTGTAAACATCTTGTTATACTGTGTTTAAGATGGTTTCATGTTTGCACTTTACTTAAGCTTCACATTCAGGCTGTTCCAAAGCTTCCCTCTAAAGCCATAAATTCAACATTTATTTCTTGTTATAATAATCAGTGTTTAATATTGACATGCATCAGCTAACTCATAAATTGTGTGAGGTTCTGAGATAGCTACTCGCCAAGGACTGATCTAAACACCTAAATTCACACAATCTGGTGGTGGGCAAATTTTTAGTTAAGAAAGTGGATATAAAGTCAAAATAGAATAGAAAATCCCTTTATTGTCCCACAATGGTGAAATTGTAGAAATCATTATGAAATGAGTGCAAAAACAGAGAAGAATAGAAAATAATTTAACTTTATTGTCATTACACTGTCACAAGTACAAAGCAAAGAGTTTGCATCTTTGCAGAAGTGCTATAGCAGATATAAATATTTATTTACATGTGTACAGAAACTATGTACGTATGTCCTATAAATGGTATATATAAACAGAGTGTAATTGTTAGAGGCTATAAAAAAAATTAATATGAAAACTTTATACAAATTATGCAGGAAAGTTTGGATATGGTTTATATATATATTAATGGGTTATAATACAGAATAAATGACGACAGATAATAGCAGATAAATGATTAGAGATTATATACAGCTATAGTTAAGAAAATGCACAAATGCAGATAAAGCAATTCAATTATCTTAATTCCCTAAGCATGGCTCATACACATCTAACTTCTTTCAGTTTCACTTTTCCCATCTTCCATTATTGAGGATGGATCCTGTTATGCAGAAATAAAGTGCTTTG